CATCTTAGACAATAAGAACGTTAAATGCTCAAATAGAAGGATTAAGGTGTACATATAGAATCATATAATTTTTGATGGCAACTGAAGAGCTCTTACTGCCAAAACCATGAAAAAGATACAGTTTTGTATGTGTGTGTTTAAATTTTTATTTTCTAAAAATATGTTTTTATTGATTTCAGAGAGGAAGGGAGAGGGAGAGAGATAGAAACATCAATAATGAGAGAAAATCATTGATTGGCTGCTTCCTGTAGGCCCCCTACTGGGGACTGAGCCCACAACCCAGGCATGTGCCCTTGACCGGAATCGAATCCAGGACCCTTCAGTCCACAGGCTGATGCTCTATCCACTGAGCCAAATTGGCTAGGGCTAAAGATACAGTTTTTACAATATTCTCAAAATCCTTCAGAGGAGGTAGTTCAGTATCCTTAAAAAATACTGTGGTCATCAATATCTTTCTGATGTATAATCTAAATCTATTAGACTGAAATTAAAACCCCTAATTTCCTTACATACAAATTATGAAAATTTGCTCATCCATATAGATTCAGGGGGACTATACAAAATGCTGAATGTAACTCTGCAGGGACATGGTGACATTTGGGTAAGTTCAGGGTCATTACTGGGAAGAACTTTTAAGCTGGTGAAAAATTTTATGCTTCAGAGAACTTCTCCATTGTTGATAAATCTGTCAAGTGTTGATATATAGCTAACACAAAAGGCCTAGGTAAAGATTAAGGACTTATGGATGTCTGTAATACTGCCAACAATAAATACATTAAAAAAAGATTAAGCACATATGGATTATCCATGCCCTTTAACTTATCTCTTTCTTTCCCTTTGGCTGATGGTCCCATATAATTGCTCTGCTTATTTGCAATTAAAATCTATCCATCTTGCTATTTGTTAGCTGATATGGTTAAAAATATTTGTCAGACCCAGCTGGTGTGGCTCAGTGGTTGAGCATCGACCTATGAATCACGGTTCGATTCTCAGTCAGGGCACATGCCTGGGTTGTGGACTCGATCTTCAGTCAGGGGCATGCAGGAAGCAGCCAAGCAATGATCAGTGATTCTCTCTCATCATTGATGATTCCATCTCTCTCTCCTTCTTCCTTCCTCTCACTGAAATAAAAAAAAAGTTTGTAAGTAGTTTAAACAGAATTTCCCATGTGGAGTAGTGTTTAAAACTGCTCACATGTCTTACATGTAGGTATAAAACTGGCTGTATCCCAGATATAACTGAGATTATATGGTATTTGTCTTTCTCTCACTGGCTTATTTCACTTAGCACAATACTCTCCAGGTCCATCCATGCTGCCCCATAAAGTAAGATTTCCTTTTTAAATTTACGGCCAAGTAGTATTCCATTGTGCAAATGTACCACTACTTTTTTTTATCCACTCATCTACTAATGGGCACTTGGGCTGTTTCCAGGTCTTGGCTATTGTAAATAATGCTGCAATGAACACAAGGGAGCATATATTCTTTTGAATTGGTATTTCAGGTTTCTTTGGATATATTCCCAGAAGTGGGATTGCTGAGTCAAAAGGCATTCCTATTTTTAATTTATTTATATTTTTTTATTGAGGAAACTCCATACTGTTTTCCACAGTGGCTGCACTAGTCTGCATTCCCACCAATGGTGCATGAAGGTTCCCTTTTCTCTGCATCCTCACCTGCACTTGTTGTTTGTTGATTTATTGATGATAACCATTCTGACAGGTGGGAGGCAATATCTCATGTGGCTTTAATTTACATCTCTCTGATGATTAGTGACATTGATCATTTCTTCATATGTCTATTGGCCATCTGTATGTCCTCTTTGGAGAAATGTCTATTCAGGTCTTTTGCCCATTTTTTAATTGGGTGTTTGTCTTCTTGGTGTTGAGTAGTATAAGTGCTTTATATATTTTGGAAATTAACCCCTTATCAGATGTATCATTGGTGAATATGTTCTCCCCTCCAGTGGGTTGTCTTTTCATTTTGTTGATATTTTCCTTTCCTGTGTGAAAACTTTTTAGATTGATGCAGTCCCATTTGTTTATTTTTTCTTTTGCTTCTCTTGCCCAAGAAGATATATTTTAAAAAATATTACTAGGAGCAATGTCTGAAATTTTATTGCCTATATTTTCTTCTAGGATTTTTATGGCATTGAGACATATTTAAGATATATATTAAAAAAGAGTTCTCTGAGCTGTACATCTTAAGTTGTACAAAATAGTTCTAGTCACATTGTTATAGGGCGGAGACATATATGTGTAGAAGGGGAGGAGCGTGGGGGTCCTGGTGTACACAGGTGAAGGAATTAAGTAAAATAAGTATATATATATCTATATATATATATATATTATTTTATATAGAGATGTAAAAATTATATATATATAAATTATATATATATATATATA